AATGGCATTCTGCTATCATGCCTTCCCACACTTAGGAAGACCAGGGCTTGCAAGGGGATCCTTGGATGATGGCCTTAGGGCTGTCTACATTTGTTAGGAAAACCACCCTAAGCTTTTAGGGCCCTTTTTACTTAGCATAAAGGGGTTGAAACTGATTGGAATCTTATCCCTGGTCTATTTTGCACTGTTTGGCTCAGGATTCACCTTAACCCTGAAACCTCTTCCCCTTTTATCCCAGGTTGTGTTCATTTTGTGACCTGTCACTTGCTTATTGGTCATTCATTACATCCCCCATCTTCTAATTTCATTTGTCTTCTGCCAATAGCAGTGTAAAAATTATACCAGAGGATGGGATGCCATTACCATGCTGAAACATTCTCTGAAGGTTATGTTTTATAGGGTTGTTTTTTTCTTTTTTTTTTTTTTACAGTTTAGTACCTCTGAGGCAAATAGTTTGTGTCTGCATTAGACTTTCCTAGCAAAGTTGCCTATTGTCCAAGTAACTGATTACAATGTTGCTTTTGTAATTACACTAGTCTTATAAACACCCTTGGTCGAGGTAGATCATCCTTTCATGCTAAGACCCAGATCCAGCAAAAAGCTGAAGTGCATATAGGTTTAAGAATGCTGATAGGGCTAGACCCATCGAAGTCTGTGACATTATTCATGCACCTAAAGTTATGGACATGCTGACAATTGTACATACTTAAATGTACCTTTTCTTTTGATGACAAGGTGTTTAGGATTTCTAACAGCCCTGAACTGATACTGTTCCATTCACTATTATAAGAAAGGGTTAACAGTTCTGTCGAATACTTATAGTGTCACTTTTCTCTTCCTCAGACCCATGCCTTGCACTGAAAGGGTAATAATACTGTTCGTACAAGGTTTGTCCATAAGTCTCAAACCTGAAGAACTGTTCAGTATCTTTTTCCCTCCTATGGATTCCAGTCAGTGTTGGCTGTGAACTGAAGGACTCAGGAGGTCAAAAAGTCTTTAATTATGCAGTTGGTCACGGAACAGTGTAGGAAGATCATCCATTATATTTCTTGGCTTCAGATCATGAATACATATTGGATACAATGCTGCTTTTGTTATTACACTAGTAGCATGTGTCCATTAAAAATCAACTCCTCAATTATGTTGTTCCTAAAAAAGGAGCATACTGTTTAATTTGAATTGACCCCAATGTGTAAATGAGGATTAAATGAAACCCCTTTCATGTGTAATTATGACATACTCAGTATGCACTAGGGTTAATGGAGTAAAGTTTCTCATTGGTGCACATTTGAAAGAAAACATTTATGGGAAAAGGAGTTTGGTTTGCTTGTAGTTTTCTGCTTGCCTTTTACTGTTTCTGTAATATACATATACCAAAATATATTTGTTTGTCCTGGATAAAGCCCTTATTTCACCTTCTGTTGGGCATTGCAATATAGTCACTGTCCAATGTTTATGCAGTTGCTTTTCTGGGGACATGATTGTTATTTCAGAACTGAGTTTAATTTTTCCACTGCATGATCCTAGTAGAAGTAAAAAAAAAGGTTATGGAGAGATATTCTTTATTTAAACTTGATCATTAATTAGCAAAAGGGTTAAGGAATACTGTCGCACAGAGCAGGCAAATGGATATAATTATATATTACACAATTCTGAAATTGTGTTAAATTTTTCAGTTAGATTTTCTCTATGCCAAAGCATTATCTTATAACTCTGCTATCATTATTTTCATGAGTACATCTTGAAATTCTTCAGCAAGGTAAATGTCATCAGTGAACTCTGGTATTTACTCTGTTGTATTTCAGAAGAATGAAGACACAATACAGTTCATCAGATGATGATCCATTCACTGAATTATCTAATTAGCACCAGCTAATTGTTGTAAATGGGGTTATAACTTGAAGTGTAAGTCTTTTTAAAAATGACTGTGGTCATTCTCTCTTTTTTTGTCTCAGTGACAAACACTCCCCTACTCCTCCCTTCTCCACTTCCTCCCCCCCCACTGCCCCACCAAAACCCCCCCGAAAAAGACGGTATTGTCATCCTATAACCAGATCTGAAAATCAGGTGGCATTCTATCTGCCTCATGCATTAACACTTTAATAAAGATTCTGTAAGTTATCTTTGCAAACCAAACTAGACTCCGTTCATTCTTATGTCACTGACTTTGCGGATGTAGTGCTATATGTTTACATTCACGTTCAACATTAAATACTTCTCTTTAATAAGATCCCTTTGTTGCATCCTCCCTTTCCTTTAATACCGTCATGCTCATATTTGTTAAATAGTTGATCCTCCTAGGTAGCTAGGAAAGATGTTGAATAAGTACTGTCTGAGGAGAGCAGAATTGACTGGGAATTGATATCAAGTGATTAATCAGAACTGAGAGGAAAATGATCAGCTGGCACGTGGGTGGACTATTTGTGCATAGGCAAAAAGTGCCTTTCTTATTTCTGAGTATTTCTAAGATGTCCAGTATTAGTGGAATGAAGAATGGAATTATTGTTTCCTGTTGAAACAGCAGAAAGCAAATAGCTTTATCTGTGCTGCTGTCACCAATGTGGCTGGCAGCAGTTAAATTAACCTGACGACTCATTTCTTCTCACTGCCATTGTATGGCTTGCAGGATAAGGCAACCAGGATAGCCTATGCATTCCTTTCCATAGCAATTTACATTTTTTTTTGGATCTTTCTCTTATGCGTTAATAATCTCTATTTAAATAGAACATTTTATTTTTAAAATTATTTTTTGTCAGCTTTATGGCCACTGGTTGCCACATTTCAACCTCTTTTTATTGTTTGGGATTGTGTATTCTGGCAGTGAAAGATACTAAATTTTAGAATGGACCTTTTTTTAAACAGTATATTTCCTAGAAAGAAAAGATACCACTTACAGTATAATAATGTTCGTAAATCACTTAAATGTTTATTATCTGAATTCACTGTTTGTTTGTTTTTACTGCCCTTTCTGTTTTAGATTCTTACCTACCACCCATTACATTTTCTGAGTGGCTTGCAATCTTTATCTTCACGAGACCAGGTGGTATGGACAGAGGACATGCTTTTATGCCCTTCAGATGGAAGATCTGAGACACGGCAATATTGATCTCATGTCCGCAAAGATATTTAGACTTAAGTACCTTTGTAGATCTGACAGTAGGTGATATGTCCAAGGTAACACAGGATATCTGTGATAATGAGGAAGCGAAATTAGGTCCTTCTAGTCCCAAGCAAGCACCCTAAACACTGAACCGTCTTAGTATCTTTTTTTTGTGGGTTAGTTCTCTCCCACTCCTCCCACCCCTGTTTTGTCAGTGATAGCAATGCAAAAAATGGAGCTTAGAAGGTGAGTTTTTAAATTTCTGAGATCCATAATCCAAGTATATGCTATAAGAAGAGCACGGCACAGTGATATGAATAAAACATGCCAGTAAATGTTACTAATTTAACCATCTATTTGCCATCTTTAATTTCCAACTGTGCTGAAGAATTTTGCAAATTAGATATTCTGTGAGAGTTATTTTGCCTCTGTGGTAGAAAGGGACGGCTGTACATAATTTACAAGAGACAAAGTGCTGAAGGTTATTATGTTCACTGGAAACTGCAGGAGGAATTTAGGTAGGCAGATAGTACAGAAATTGGAACTTCTCCAGAAAAAATGGGCTTAAAATCTTTGCTATACAGAACAGATGTGGGTGAATAGTATGTCAGTGCTTGGCATTTCAGAAGACCTGCAGAGCAAAAACAGTCTTAGACAAGTTTTTCTACATTGTAAAATTTCATTGTATACCACTGTAAAATGTGCATGTGATAGGCAATGGAATATAAAGGTTTGATTTAAATCTATGAGAAATCATTACAAGAGTGGCAGTGTACCTTAGCTATGAGTATATAAACAATTCCATTCTAACCCGTCTTCTCAGTCACTTATATATTTCTGATTTTTCCTAGGCCTAGTGATTTCAGGTCTGTGTGTCTGTCTCTCTCTCTATAGATATATATGTATATATAGCCTGTTAAATATATGTATATATATTTACCAGGCAATACTGTGATTCTTCTCTTTGATACAGGCTACAACCATACCTTGTATCAGTTTTTTTTTTAATCCACAGTTCTTTCAGAAAAAAGGAACCTTTGCTTATTTTTATAACGAGGAAGGAATTACTCTCTTAGAAAGTTTGCCAGGAAAAATATTATATATATAATATGTATATGCGTGTATACACGCACACACGTGTGTGTGTGTGTGTGTGTGTTTTTCCTGGCAGACTTTCTAGGAGAGCGATTTCTTCCTTGTTATTAAAAATAAGCAAAACTTGCTCTTTTTCTGAAATAACTGTGGATAAAAAAACATGATATAAGGTATGGTAGTAGCCTGTGTCAAAGAGAAGAATCACAGTATTCCCTGGTGAAACATGGTTTTGATCTGGTTAAAGTCATGATCCATTGCAAATTGCCCTGTGTTTATATGTAGGCAGCTAGGGATAGAAATAGCTCCCTGAGGTCTAGATCCCATTATTTCTCTTGGATGTCTGAGTGGCACTTTTAGGTACCTATGTCACTAACCACAACCCTGTTCCATTCTGCTCAATAATCACAAAAGGACTATGACATCCAGACGTATTATGGTTCTTCATTTTGATGTGGAATAATACCTAGATGAAATGGGCTTTAGCTTGTGGGGAAAAAAGATGCATTTTATTGATATGGGAATAGTAACTGGCCATATAATTAAGTACTTATCAAAATGGGTATGAAAGAGCATGTGGACAGAATTAAGATAATTTAATGTTATCTTTTCCTGAAATGCTTAACAATGAAAGGAATAGTTATGAAATATTTTTATGAAGGTTGAAACACTTCACTGCTTGTAATCTCACATCATTAATGTGAGATTCTTGAATAATCGTGTTAAATGACCTTGAGTGTTAAGGGTCTACTCTTCACTGTTTTGAATGCTTGGCATGAATATTTTCCTTTTTTTTTTTTTCCCCTAGGAGGGGTAAGAAGCACAGTATAATTCTGAGAACCCAGCTCTCCGTGAGAGTCCATGCCTGCATTGGTAAGTGACATTCCATACACTTACCAGGATGGATGGCCAATAAGAGAGAGAGAGTAGTCTAGGAAATGAGTTTTACCAGAATATTAATTAAGCTTGTTTTGTTGAAAGGTGGGATAAAGGATCATATCATTGTCACCTGTCTTTGCAAAGTAAAGAAAATTTGGCCTTTTTTAGGGATGGGAAAGTGACAAATGTTGGCATTTTCTTCTTTTTCTGTATGTCAGTTTTCATAATTTATTTATTAAGAAACATAATGAAGCTTTTGGTATCTGTCACTGTAAGCTGGGAGTGACATTAATGATGTGGTGTGAAGACACTTAAAGCAAATGATGTATGCTGAGTCAAGACAGACCAGAGAAATTGCTAGTGACAGCAATTCCTGTGTTTTAATAGCACGTAATATTTAATGCTCAGAATCTTGCAAATCTTGGTCGTGCACATTGTCATTATTATGTCATTGATTTGAAAGGAATTCTGATTAGAATATTGCTGCTGTGAGAAAAGCTAAACAGAACTAATATTAAAATGTAGTTCAGGTGTACCTAAGTGATCTCATGGTGCCAGAATTGCATAAGGGGTGGTTCCTTTGCCATTGCATGTGTGGCAGAGTAGGTGCATTGCAGTGAAGATTTCTGTCCAGCTCACTGTACAGTACCTCACTTAGGATCATAGAAATGTAGGTCTGGAAGGAACCTCACAAGGCCATCTAGTCTAGCCCTCTGCTCAAGGCAACCCCTACCAAGTGTGTATCCAGCCTGCTTTTGAAGGAGATTTCACAATTTCTGTACATATCCTGTTCCTATACTTGACCACCCTCATAGTCCAAAAATTCCTTCTAATTTTGAATGTCAGTTTCCCCTGCTGCAGCTGGAGGTCATTGCTCCTAATCCTGTCCCCAGTGGCCAAAGAGAAAAGCCCCATCTCCATTCTCCCTGTAATTTTTTTCAGGTATTTGAAGACTGTTATGCAATCCCTCCTTAGTCTTCTCTCCTCCAGACTATATGACTCTAGTTCTATCAGCCTTTCCTCATAAGTATTGCTTCCCAGGCCCTGAAATCATGTTTGTTGCCTTGTGCTAGACTTGCTTCAATCTGTCCACATCCTTCTTGAAGTTTGAGGCCCAAACTGAACACAGTACTCCAAGTGAGGCCTCACCAGTGCTGAATAGAGCAGAATAATTATTTCTCTTGATTTGGAAGTGACAATCCTGTTCATAGAACCTAATATGCTGTTGGCTTCTTATCACTAACTGCACACTATTGGCGTATACTCATCTTATGGTTTATTGTACCCCCAAGTTACAAACCCAAGTGGCAGAAGCTACTACAAATGGCTGGAATGTCCTGGTGGTGTCATGTGCAAAGATAGTAAAGATGGTGTGAGCCCATAAAAAGAATATACTCCCTAGCTATTTTTTTTTCTCCTTTAGTTTATCTCTTCAGTATTGGGTAATTTTGGCACTTTAATGTTTGTGCTGGGGTTGATTTGGGGGACAGCAGAACTAGGGACATATGTGGTTTAAAGGTCCTCCTTTTTAAAGGTGAATGCTGAGTACCGATTCATTTTCTTTCTGAGATTTTTAATGTCAGAGTTTATGAAGTCAGACTTTGAATACTGCTAAACTTTTTTCTTAATCTCAGGTCACATTTTGAAATAGCCTTTCTGAGAATCTGAACGGCGCATAAACAACCTACAGAATTCCTTAAATGCCTCCTCTTGAGATCTGTCTCGAGGCTGCATGATGCAGAAACAGATTCCCCTAGACTAGTTGACTGAAGAACTACAGTAGACCATTATTAAGCGTATGTGCTTTGCCATTAGAGAAGAAGTAAGGATGCCAAGTCTAGGATGATTGTATAAATATGAATTAAATTAAAAACAGTTTGGAGACAGGCTTGTTCTGGTTAGGTATGGGAATTTCTTCAACAGAGCGGACCATTTGCACAAGAGAATATTTCATATGTTTCTTGGAGTCGCATTTTAAAAATATTTTTCATGTAAGGGTTTTAATTTGGCTGGAAAGCACTGGTTTAGGAATTAAAGCATCAGATTCTGGGCTTGCTTATGCAATTACCTCATTTGCATCTGCTTGCATTTACAGTTGATTGACATGTACAAATGCCCCTTGTTTGTATGCATTTAATTATGTACTTGTTAACTGTTTCTATTTGAAAATGTGTTCTAAAGCAGTGGTCATAATGTTCATTTATAAATCATGAATTTAATTTTAAGCAAAAATGGATCCAGGTTGCAAAATTTAGATCCAGATTTCCAACTTCTGTGTTTGGAGGTGTTTGAGTATGCGTTTTTGGATTAGTTTGTAATAGGCATGAGAGCCAACTGCAAGATTTCAATCAGATTTCAGATCCAACCCCTGTAAAAGTTTTTGGATTTTTTAGATCTGAGATGTTGATTCAGTCTGTGTCTGATTGTACTGTTGATTTAATAAATTTTTTTGAGACAATGGTGGGAATTTGAAGGCCTTGAGTGTAAGGATCACTCAGGAATGATGTGCGTCAGTTACAGATGTCACTGAAGTGAAGGGTTGTTTCACTGTCCATGGTTATTATTTTTCATCTTGTGTATACATCCACATCATCTTCATGTTATGCCTTGTTTCAAAATATAAGCATTAGGTTTTACGGTTGAAAGATGTATTACTTTTTCAGGGTAGAGGCCAGGGACTAAACAAACTGAGATGGTGTTTGATGGAATAAGAAACTTCTTTCCTCAGCTATTTTCTTTGGTTCCCTCCCACCTATGTGCTATAATTACAATGGTCTTTCCTCACAATATGCTTGGAGAAGATTGCGGTTAGAATGCAACTGACTGTTCAAAGTCAACACTAGCATGCTATGGATGTTTATCAGAGAGCATTGTGTACTCTTTAACACTGTTGCCACATAGCTGTGATCAAGATTCCACATCCAATCATCATTTGCGTTAAAGTTGACAGCAAAGAAATTGCTTTCTTCATAGAAGATATCCCGTGCATAAATTGGGCCAACATTTTTCCTCTCTGTAAAGCTGTTATTTTTCTTTTCCATTTTTGGACATAGATGGTCAAAATGTCTAAATAAATAAATAAATAAATAAATAAATCTTATTATGTCTAAATATATATTTCCTGTATTAGGTGATTGTAGTCTCTTAGGAATTCATTGGGCTTTATTGTTAAAGGACTTAGTGGCTGCAAGCTAATCTATTGTGAGTTTTACGGAGACACATTCTAGGCGTGTCTACACGTACATTGATGTGCTTTTCCTAATTCGCATTACATTTAGTACTTCTAATATGAGGTACTAAATAAATGTGTATTAGGCTGTAGCACAAGTGCATGCTTTTTAGGTGATGCTTAATGCACAGTAGCTTATTCTGCTGTGCATTAGCGTATTATCTTGGTTTTTTACGTGCCCTCTATGTCCCAACTAGTCACTAAAGCAGCTACTTAAAAGGGAGGTAGAAAGAGGTTATATATGGTGGAATGCTTTTTATTATTTTAATCACTGAAATTGTCAGCAAATATAAGATACTGGGCATGTAATTTCAACATATTCTCCCCCTCTTTTCTAATTTAACACCTAATTATTTTTCTTTGATTTTGGGGTCTTATTACATTGTATATCAAGCTCAAATTAAGGGCTTGCTGGAAGAAAGAACAAATAACTTTTTGCCACTACAACTCTTCTGTTGTTTTTCATGTTTTATATAATTCTGGTTCAAGTCTGTCAAAACAACATTTAAGCAAACTAAAAAGTTTCCAGGCAAGTTGTGATCTTTCCAATAAGTTTTTCTATCTAAAGACCTTTTTATTTAAAACATTTTTTGTTTAAAAAGCATAATTACAATCAGAATTGTGGACTCAGTCTTTCAGCCATCAAAGTTGATGTCAAGATCGGCATTGACATGAGTGGTGCAGGATCAGTCCTTAATGTACCTAGTTTTAGAGCCGTTTTTCCTACAAAATCAGTCAAATTTTAGAGCTGGGTTTATGTAATGACATTTACAGTGAGTAATGGCTCTCTAGGCTAAATCTTATTGATTTGTACCTTAATAGAATTTTATTGTGGGCATGCATATGTTTAAATTTTAGAAGGATTATTTGAGGCCTTTATAAATTCCTCTGTAAATAAGGATATGACTTTAAAGCGGAAACATAAACACTGTTAGGAATCCTGTTAAGAAGATTAAGTTCCCAATATTTCTTGGACTAAATTGTAGGCCAGTTTACTTTCCCTAGCAACACCACTGACCTTAGTGTTGGTGAGATATTAATCAAGTACTCACTGACCAAAATAGGAGAAGAGTTCTATTTTCCGTGAAAGTTTTCTGTAATGATAATGGCAAGGCAATTAGTATGTTGTGTCTTCTGCTGATTTCATTATAGTAATGATCTCACTATTACTTTGCGATTCCCACATTTGTTTGTTGTACGTATTATTTCACAATGTATACTGAGATGTTAAGCTATTTGGTGCATTTTCATTATATGAGCATATTTTAATATAGTACCTAGCATGATTGTGTGCCAGGCTCTGACTAGAGCCTCTAGATGCTAACACGCATAGTATAATCATGAAGTAATAGGTTTATGCCCATTTAGATATATCTAGGCCCCGGGGGAGGCTCACCTGGGCCTAGGGTGAGTGAGGATTTAGTTAGGGAGCTCCTGGAGGGGCTGGATGTTTTTAAGTCAGCTGGCCCGGATGATCTTCACCCTACAGTCCTAAAGGAACTGGCTGGGGTCATTGCAAGTCCCCTGGCATGGCTTTATGAACACTCGTGGTGCTCTGGAGAGGTGCCGGAGGACTGGAAGAGGGCCAACGTGGTTCCCATCTTCAAAAAGGGGAGGAAAGAGGACCCGGGGAACTACAGGCCAGTCAGCCTTACCTCGATCCTGGGCAAGCTGTTCGAGAAAATTATTCTGGCACACATCCAGGAGGGGCCAGCAGGGAACTGCATGCTCAGGGGCAACCAGCACGGGTTCATCAGCGGCAGGT